GGAAGGAGGCCCAGCTGCCTGCGGCCAAGCCCAGCCCCTCCGGCTCAGCAAGATGCTGAGCCTGTGCTCAGACCAGGGGCCACCTCCAGGAAGCACCGCTGGCCCAGCCCCCTTCCTTCTCCCTGGCCTCCAATCCCCAATCCTGACACCCTCTCCTGGTTCCTGAGGTCCCTCTGGGTGGCTCCCAAATCAGTCCTGATGCCAAGAGGGGGATGAGGAGGCCAGCCCTCAAGTCTCCTGGCCCCTGTGGGGAGCATCTCCAAGAGGAGGGCAGATGGACCATGCTGGATCCCTTCCCACCCACCACCCAGCCTCACTCACCCCTGCCACCTTGCTCTGCTTGACTTAAACGGCTTCTCCTACTTGCTAGGCAGGAGAGGGCTTGCCACCTTCTCCACAGAAGGCCTCACCCCAAGCACTGGCCTATGCCCTGGCACTCCTGGAATGGGGGTGGGGGTCTAGAATCCACCTCTCTGTAGCTGGGCCCCCATCCCACCCAGGTCACCCCACCAAGCTGCCACCCCACGGCCTCTGAGGCTGCTGCACCCCCAGACAGAACCATGCCGCCTGATCTATCGGGGCTGCTCCCAGGCCCCTGCCGGGCACTCCTCCTCCCAGCACGAGGGCCCAGCTGAGAAGAGCACCCTCTGTCCCCGTCCCCCACGCTGCCTGCCGGGGCCTCTCGAGATGGCCTCTGCCTCCAGCAGCCAGCTTGGGGCCCAGTGGTGTGCTGGGAGGGGGTCCATGGCACCCCTGCAAGGCCCCATCCAACGCATGGCCCATGGCCCGCAAAGGGGGCATGCTGGCTCAGGGTACAAGACCAGAGCAGAGGGCCGGCCAGAATGGCCTTGGGGGCAGACGCTCCTGCCCGGATGCTCTGTGGATACAGGTGGCATCCTGAAAGACTACCATCAAACCTTTTTCTCTTTCTCGCTTTTCCTGAAAAGGGGGCCCAGCTGGGGCAGCGTTGGGCACAGAGATCTGAGCTCCCCAGTGGGCCTCTCCATCCCGAGCCTCACATGGGAACTGCTGGCCAGCTGTGCCAGAGGTGCCGGGGGCACGGCCCCAGGGGTCTGGTCTCTGTACCAGAAAGTGACCTGTCCAGGGCAGGGCTGATGGCAGAGCTGAGGTCAGAATGCAGGCTGCACCCAAAAGGCTTCCCTCTTCCTCCCCGTGGCCCTGGGGCCAGGAGTCACCTAGCACGATGACGGGGGACTACCAGGCTTCAGAAGTCGTGCCTCTCAGGGGCTGAGGACGTGGGTGTGGACCCCGAGCCCGGCCCTGTCTGCAGATGCCCCCGGTCCCAGCTGGGGGTGAGACCCGCACAGAGATACCAAGCACTGGGGCAGACTAGCGCCAGCCACAGTGGGAAGTGGCAGTGAGAGGCCCAGTCTGTGTGTGTGGAAGGGGGGCTGAGATGTGGGAAGGTGGGGTGGGGAGACCACAGAGAGAGACAAAGTGGGAAAGAGAAGCTCAGCTCTGGGCCCAGGCCAGCCCTGCAAGTGTCCCTGTGACCAGCCTGATCGCCATCCATGGCTACACCAGGCTCCCTCTAGGGGACTGGGTCCAGTCACTGTCACGAGTTTGTGAATCAACCACAGAGCAGAGGAACGAAGACCCACTCAGGTGGCCCTGCGAGCAGAACAGCAAAGGGCCAGCCCAGCCTTTCAAATGCTCTGCCGGAGGTGACCCACTGAGGCAGGGTGAGCTGTATGCTGGCCTGACCCAGGGCTGGCCAGGCCAGGGCAGCTGAGAGGACCAAGGTCCTCCTAGCCTTGAGGCAGAGGGAACTAGGAGCCTGTCAGGAGATGTGAAACCACGGAGGGGAAGGGTGTGTAGGGACCACAGGAGAAAAGAGAAGCTCCGAGGCTCCCCCTGGAGCTGCCCCCACCCCACCAGCCAATTACAGGCCCCTGATCCCGCCCGTCAGCCTGTAATTTGAGTCCAAAGACAATTAGCTACAGGCTGGCCCCACCCCACCCCACAGCCCCACCCCAAACACAAACACCCACTAGGCTCTGGAGGAGGGACTCTGCCCAGCCCCCACCCTCAGCGAGGGCCTAGCCCCCAGGGAGCCCCCAGGGAAGCGGGTTGACCTCAGAAGTTATGGCCAGGGGCCCACCAAAGCCCCGCCAACTGGCCAGACCTGGGCTTGCGTTCTGGCAGGTCTGACCTGCTCACCTCCTCCCCCAGCCTTACCCAGACCCAAACCTGTGTCCAAGGCAGGCAGGCTCTGGACACAGGAGTCTCCTCCACAGGGAAGAAAAGCTTATTCACCCACCAATGAGGCCTCCTGCCGGGCACCTGTTGCGGCAGCAGGGACTGAGGCAACTCACAGCAAGACAGCCCCCGGAGGCAGAGGGCATGGCTCCTGCGTGTGGCCCCGCCCAGAGCAGAGAAGGGGCCACAGGGGAGGGCGCTGGCACCCACAGCCTCTCCTCACCAGTGCACCCCTGCCCACACCCAGCATCCCAGGGGGATCTTCGGCTCTGGGCCCAAGATGTGGGTCCAAGGCAGGAAACAGGATGCCATGTTCCCAGAGTGGCCTCAGTCCTGGGATGGCTCAAATGCCTGCAACCGTGCCCTCTTGGGGAAGATGGGCATAGGCCATATGGACCCCTCCCCAGGCTGCCAGCCCACCCCAGTGCCGTCCAATCCAATCTCTTCTGCTCCACTCCCCTGGGCTAGGGCCAGGGCCCTGGGTTTCCTGCACTCCGCCCAAGCTGCCGGCTCTGCGTCTCCAATGTGATCCCCACAGGGGCTGCTGGGCACATGGCTGGCGGGCACACTCAGGCACAGACCCAGGGAGCCCACACAGGGGAGGCAGTGTCCCAGACAGCTCCTCGCAGGTACCCATTAATGGCTTTGATCTCTTCACCTGGGGAACCCCTCACTTGTGGGCTGGACTGTCAGAGGAGGGGCTTGAGGGGGTGCAGGAAGGTGGCCTGAGGTTCAGCCTGAGAAGACCTCAGCGCCTCACCCTGAGCAATCTAAGTCACGCCCCTGCCTGCTTCCCGTCATCCCTGGGAAGCACCAGGTGTGAGTAATTCGCCAAGGTGTGTTCCTGAACCTGGCTATGGAGAGCAGCCTCAGAGACCTTCAGGCCATAGTGCTGAGTCTTCTGGGGTAAGGGGTCCCTTGGCTGGGTCCCTCCCCCGGGCCCCGAGGACAGGATCTAGGGCCCCTCCAGCCCTGTGGCCTCCCCTGGAGGGGCCTGGGTCCACTCCAAGCTAGCTAGCAGGGTCGGCTAAGGCAGCCTACAATCTCCAACCCAAGGGTGACGCATCCCCTCCCACCCCGCCTCCAACCGGTCTGAGCAGCCTCGGGAGGTGGTGGAGCTGCCCAGACTTGCCCGTCCCTCCCTCCTGGTGCTCTCAACCCTCAGCCCCGGAAGTGGGTCCCTCTCCCAGGGCTGCAGCCTCCCCCCTTGGGTGGCTGGACACGGCTGGATAATCCAAAATAATTCCTTCTTGGCAGGCGGCCGGCGGGGGAGGGGGGACTCACATTCCAAACCCTTGTTTTTCTCAGTGACTTCCCTCCCCCCCTGGGGCAAGGAACCCCTGGCCAGACCTCAGGTCTCACAGAGGGGCCCACCCCTTAGACCAAGGTGCGCCCCCCCCCACTCTATAGGTATGCTGGGAAGAGGTGGGAGGCTCAGATCTGTGGAGCCCACCTGTCTGTCCTTAATCTTCCCCGGGAATTCCTAAAAGCTGACATGCCACAAAAGTACCCAGCAGGCTCAGCTGGGCCAAAGCTGACCCCACCCTCCTGGGGACCCTCACCTCAGAGCAGAGAGTGGCCTCTCCACCAGCTGTTCAACTCTCAGACTCTCAGATGGCAACTCCAGGCCACGCCAGCGTTAACATCTGGGCATGGGTCAAGCTGCACCCCTCCACCCTCCTGCTCCCCCACTCTCCACAGGGCCCAGCTTAAGTTAAACATGGAAGAGGAAGCTCCCCGCGGCAGGCACAGGCCAGAAAACCCTCCAAGCCCCAAAATATTCCACTAGCTTTGGGGCCCAGCTTTGCCCCGACTGCCACAGGCCACAGTAGACACAGATAGACCCTTTCCTTCCTTTTCCAAGTTGCTGGGAAGAGAAGCTTTAGTGACGTGGCAGGAAGCTCCGGGGCTCGAGTTCAGGGACCCCAGAAATCTGCTAATCAGCCTGATCACAGAAGGGTGGGAAGAGCCCAGCCAGGAGGGCTTCCTGCAGGAGGAAGCATGCAGAGGTGGTGGTCACAGAGGGTGAAGGGAGGGCCCAGGCACCAGGTATGCCCCCAGACCCACACAGTTCTGAGACCTTCTGGGATCCAGGATGTCTACCTAAACACTATGCCAATTAAGGACACCAGGAACCGCCTTAGCAGGCCCTGTGGAGAAGGCAGGCCCAGGGCCACCGGGACTTAGCTGCCCTTAGTCCCACCCCGGAACCCTGGCTCCCACCTTCTACACCCAACCAAGCAGAGACCAGGGAGATCACAGGGTGGTCCTTACGAGGAGCCTCAGCGGGTGTAGAGGGGGAGGGTTGCTAAGCCCTGACTGCGGGTCCAGCCCCCTGGGGAAGCCTGGGCTCAGCCACCCTGAACTGCTGCCGAGCTGGGGGCAGGTGGGTGGGGGCCCCCGAGCTCTTGCACAACAGGGACAATTGCAGCCCTGCCCACGGATCTCAGTGTCTGGAGAGGTGGGAGGCATGGGCGGGGAGGGACGATCGGAAACCAGAAGGGGTCCAAGCGGTCCAGAGGGCGCTGCGCCGGGCTGGAGACCCTCGGCCGGGCCAGGCCCGAACCTCCCCCACCCGCCCCGGCGCCGCGGGCCTCGCCGGCCACCTGGAAGAGCCGAGGGCACACGGACTGCGGCCGAGGCCCGATCAACGCCCGCGGAGCGGCGGCTGCCCCGGGTCCCCGTGCCCAGAGCGCGCAGACTGGGACCGAGCGGCGCTGACGGCGAGGCCCCCCGACCCGCGCGGGCGCACCGTGGGCCCTGTACCCCCACCGCGGTACCTGCACGTCCGCCGCCGAGGCTCGATGGCGCCCGGGCCGCGATCGGCGCTGCGCTCCGGCCCGCGCGGCTGCCATGGAGACGGGCCTTTGTGTGGCCGAGGAGGGGCCGGAGCGCGCGGGAGCAGCGGCCCCGCCCCCGACGGGGAGAGGGGGAGGGCGGGGTAGAGGAGCGAGAGGGAGGAGGCGGAGGAGAAGGAGGGAGGGGCGGGAAGGGAGGAGGGGAGAGGGGAGGAGAGGGGGAGAAAAGGAGGGGGAGAGGGGAAGGAGGGAGGGGCGCTCCCTGCGCCCCGCGGCCACAGAGAGCCCGCCGCGTCGCGGGGTAGGTTCGGCCGGGTTCGAGCCTGGGTTCTCGGGCAGGGAGCGCGCGCCCCTGGGCCGGGCACCACCTGGGAGCGCCCCCAGCCACCCCTGCCCCAGCCACCTCGCGGTTCGGGCGCCATCAGGCACCAGGGCCACTACCAGATTGGGTTCAGGCCTGCCGCATCCCCTGCTGTCCCCGCGGGCCGGGGACTGCTGCGCCCTGACCAGTTCCCGGGAGCCTCAGCCCCCCAACCTCTTAGGGTTAGAGGTGCGCGCCTGCTGCCTCCCAGAGGGCCGTTGGGGACCCGCCCCCAGGACCAGCACCAGGGGTTTGTGTGCTTGGACTTGAGAAGAGGTGGGCACCCTCCCCATGGGGCCAGCTGTCCTATGAGCGCTTGCTGCCCCTCACCTGCAGTCTCCAGTCACAGGACGGGTGGGGTGAGCAGCAATTGGGGACCCGGGGAAGACAAGGGACTATTGCCCAAACCCTAACTGGCACTCCTACACCCTCTAACGCTGCCCTCCCCTCCTTGCAGACTGTTCACTTCCTCCTGTCCCCTCCACACCCTCCAGCTCCCTCCACCCTGAGACCTGCCCCCAGTGATCAAGAACTCCAACCAGATGAAGCCCTTAGGAGCATTAGGAGCATGTCCTTCAGTCCTCCCAACATCTCAGCTGCTGGCCACCCCCAACCAACCAAGCCAAACCTTCCCTCCTTCAGCCCTGAACCACATTCACACCAAGGCCCACCCAATCTCCACTGCAGAGGACCCCTAAAATGACCAGGGTCTGACAAGAAGGCCAACTTTTTTTTTTTAATCAAAAAAGGAAGCTAAAAGACAGGCATTGTCACTGAAGGACATTTTAATACCAGAAATGTGGGAAGGCCACTATCCCAGACTAAAAGGGAATCTTTAAATAAAGCACAGGAAGCATGGGGGTGAGGACTGTCCTTCCTGTCCCTGGTGTGGCTGACAAGTCCTCCACGGCCACAAGCACACAGCCCCTCCAACCTCAAGAGGTCTCAGCGAGCAAGCACAACACCCTCTTGGACCAGTTGGCTCCTGCCTCTGGGGGCCCTCCTGCCCCCTCCCCTTCACTGTCTGCTGCGGTCCTGCTGGGGGACAGAAACTCAGCCAAATCAGGGCTGGCCTGATCCCAGGAGGGAACAAGGGAGCTCGTGGGGGACACAATGGAGCCGGCAGGACTTCATGCCCGGCTCCCACGGAGCCCCCACCCGAAGCTACCTCTGTGCAGAGAGGTCAGGCTGTGAGGAAGACGGACCCTTCATGGCTCCAGGCACTCCAGGAGACATGCTCCCTCACACCTCTCCATTTCAGCCTTGGGTTCTCCACCCTGGGCCGCGTTGCCCACCCTGCCCAGAGTCCCTCCCCAGAGCTCCTGCCCACAGTGGTCCTTAGGATGAACTGCTGTGAGGGACAGCCATGGGGCCCCAACCACAGCCCTCAAATCCCCAGGAGGGGGACTCGGGGGATTGGGGGAACCTGGTTGGGCCATCCTGGACTGATGGTGGCCAAGGTCCCTGGCAGCTTGGAGGAGACCCCCTCACAGCCCCTTCCCTGCAGCAGACCTCCGAAAACCACGTGAAGTGGCTGCCCAGTGCTTGGACACTCAAGCACAAGCTAGAGTGATGTCTGGGGTCACCGTTGTGAGCGGGGCCCAGGTCAACTTCCCAAGCCTCCCACACACCTTGCAGCCACAGCGCTCGGGGGGCCTGGGACTGGCCCTGGCCCTAGAGGGCACGCACACGTACCAGCCAGCCACAAGAAAGGTGCTGGCATCTTTGCAGACCCTCTTCAAGACCACGCCCCAGGTGAGGAGGTCACCCCTCCACACCAGACAGCCAGGGCAGGCTGCCCAGAGTGGCATCTTGGGCCAACATGGGGCCCCCCACTCCCCAGCTCCAGCCTGTTTCGTCTGCAAACCTGGGTCCACTGCCCCTGTCGGGCTCTATTCTGTTCTGTTCCATTAAAAGCCATGCCCTCGGACCCTGCCCCACATGGGGCTCAGACAGGCTGTCCTAGGCCACTGTCAGGTGGACGAGTCGAAAGCAGCGTTTCTGAGAGCCACGCCATACACCCCGTGGCCCTGCCAAGCTCAGCGCAGGGAGAGCCACGGCCAGTGAGCACCCTCTGCAGCCACTCAAGAGCAGGGCTGGCACCTCCCCGGGCCTGTGCGCAGGGAGACGGCCGAGCCCTGTTCAGGCGTCGTGGGGCAGAGCCCGGTCAGGCACCCACAGAGCCTCGCCGCTCAGATGAGGGGTCTGAGGTGAGGCTGGAGGTCGGGAGACTTACCTGCAGGCTCACAACGCTGGGTTCGCGTCGCACGCCCACCCTCCCACTGGCTGACGATGCCGTCACCCTGTGCTAAGCCACTGGGTTCCGCTGGGCCCAGCACGGCACGGTGCCGCACTGGGGGGTGAGCACCTCTGAGGGCCCTCCCGCTCCGTGCCGAGGAGCCTGCTGCTCCAGGCTGCGGCAGCTGAGGAGGGCTGCGGCTGAGGGCCTCCAGCAAGTCTAGAGTCCAAACCCCTCCGGCTGCACGTGGGGGTGGATGGACACATGGGAGGGAGGCAGCTCGAGTGCCTGTCAGACAAGCAGCAGCACTGGGCAGAGCACACGGGAGGGGGCCGGCGGGGTGCTCCAAGAGTGGGACCCCGGACGATGCCCCAGACCCTCCTGGCAGCCTCCCAACGAAGTACAGGGCAGAGCTCCGCCCGCAAACAGGCCTTTGCCCCGCCCCAGCCAATGACCTTAAGAGCCAAGCATCCTGGTCCCCCCGCACCCCGCCAGACGGGGAGCTGGCCATGTGAGAAGAGGTGTCCGCCCAACAGCTGCCTCCTTCCGTCTTGGGCTGGGCGGCCTGGTGGGGCTAAAGTACACATCAAATACAGGCCTGGGGCCCCAGGGCTTGGGCAGGTGGGCACCACAGGGGGCGGGTGGCCCTGTGCCCAGCCAGCCCCGCCTCCCAGCCTTGGGGCCCTGCAGCAGGCAGGTGGGACCCAGGGGGGGGTAAGGCTCTGGCCAGCACGTGATCCGCCAACAGTCAGGGGCCAGGCTGTGGTTCCAAATGCCACCTTTACTGCTGAAACAACATGCGTGCCGACGGGGGGGCCACGGCCAGACAGCGGCTGCAGGGAGCTCGGGTCGGGAGCTCGGGCCTGGCTGGGGCCACCGCTCACCGAGGACAAGGAAGCTTGGCCAGACCCGGGCCCCTGGGCCTCGCCCCTTGGCCCTGTCCTAGGGAGGGCACAGGACAGCCTGCAGGTCCTTGGGCAAAGAGCCGACGACCGTCTCGATGTACAGCTGTGCCCGCTCTAGTGTTGTCTCCTTCACCGGGAGCTGGTGGCCCTGCGCCTGCACCTGCAGGGGCAGCGGTGGTCAGGGGCAGGTGGCCTCCACGTCTGGCTGGTGGAGGCTGGACAGGGCCAGGAGGCATCTCACCAGCTTCTCCTGAAGTTTCAGGACCAGGTCCACGACCTCCACCTCAGACTTGTCCTTCATCCAAGTCTCGATGTTCTGCTGGGGACAAGATGGAGCCGTCCACCACCAAGGCCCGCACTCTGCCCCTGTGCCCCGCCCCCCAGCCCCTGCTCTGGGCATGCATGCCCCCACCTCCTCCCCCAGCCCCAGCTCCCCCTTACCGCCTCACAGATAGCCTCAAGGTGCAAGGCCTCCAGCTTCTGGGCCATCTCTTTGTGCCGCTGCCGGTACCAGCCGTCAAAGTGGGGGGACTTGAAAAACCGCCTGTGGGTAGCAAGATGCAGCAGCTGTGGGCTGACCCCATGACCCCGTGTGCAAGGACAGTCTGCACCAACCACCGCAGGAGCCTCAGGACCCTACCTGCCATCCACCCACCTGTAGAGGCCCAACCAGTCGCCCTTGAGGATGCAGGTGAGCTGGGGCCCGGCGTGCTCCAGGCTACGCAGGAAGTCGTCCTGGCGGAAAGGGCGGATCTGGGGAGGAGTCTGAGACAGGGGCCTGGTGAGCCCAGGTTGGTGGGGGACACAGCCTCACAAGCCCTGCCCCTCAGCTGGCCAGGACCCTTCCTTGCCACACTCCTCAGCCACGTGAGGACCCACAGCCCCCACCCTTCCCGGGACAGAGCCCCTCATGTGTGGCCCCCCTTTTTCTGTCCTATGAGGGATGTCTGGCATGTGTGGGGACAGACTAGAGCCCTGGACTCCTGCACACCCCGTGACCTCCTCCCTCCCTCCCTCCCAGGCCTTCCCCAGACTGCCACCTGGATCCGCACCTTCCAGGGTGTGATGCTCTTCTGCAGGGGCATGAGGCTGGCCATGTAGTGCTCCTGGTGGGGGAGGGGAGTGAGCCTGGGGCCATGGCCCTCCACCCCCATCCCCCTCCTGCCCTGGGCCTCACCAGGGGGATGATGAAGCTCTGCGTGAGCTCCAGGAGGTGCCGTCTCAGCAGAGCTGTCTGTGTGTCCCAGGGCCTCTTCTTCTGCAGCCCCTAAGGGAAGGGCAGGCACGGGCTCAACTCCAATGCAGCTCTTTACAAAGAGCAAGCACACACCCCCTACGCCCGCCTCCGGCCTCCCCCAGCCTGTACCTTGAGCAGCCGCTTGAGCAGTGCCTTGTCCCGGTGGAGGTGGGCCGAGTACGTGGTGTAGAGGCCTGGCAGGAGGGCAGAGCTGGCCCTGTCCCAAAGGGGCTCCCCCCTATAGCCCCACCCCCTTTGGCTGGGACTGCACATCTATGCCCACCTCCAACCGGGTGAAGCAGAGAAGGTTCCCTGAGAACTCAGAGCCCACTCCCTGGGTTCTGGAGAAGGAGGGGTTCCGGCCCAAGGGGCACACACCTGGCTTGGTGTCAAGCGTCTTCAGTCTAGAGGGCTTTTTCAGCTTGACCTGCTTAGGAAGATCCCCTGCAGAACACACCCAGTTCTGGGCCTCAGTGCCGCAGCCCCACCCGCCACAGGTTCAGAGCCCTCCAGGCCCCACCTCCCCAGGTCCCCTGGGCAGAGGACAGGCCAGCCTCACCTGACATCTTGGGCTCTCCAACACGGAGGATGTGGGGCCAATGCTGGAGTGTTTTGATAAAGAAAGGGTTTGTGACTCCCAGAACCACGTTTGGTCTAGAGAGAGGAGAGAAGAGAGAGAGAGAGAGAGAGAGAAGGGGCAGAGGCAGGCCCAGGGTGGTGGAGCCCAGGTGGAGGATGGGGCACGGACAGGGCACTTACGGGGCCTGCGTGCGCGTGGTGAACTCCTTGAACTCGCTGTCATGGATGGTGAAGTAGGGGCGGTAGTCACAGCAGAACTTGAGGGGCTGCAGACAGCTGCGGGGCGGGGGCGCAGCCCGAGCTATAAGCAGAGCCAGGGCCGCTCGGGTGCCCCCGACCCCCTCCCTCTGCCGCCCAGCCTACCTGATTAAGGCCAGCACCATCTCTGAGGACATGGCGGGCGAGGGTGCCAGGACCACCAAGGGCTCCCCGAGGAGCATAAGCTCCCACAGAGTCTGCACGTGGGTCAGCACAGGCTGGAAGCACCTAGTGCCAGCCTCCGGTCAGCAGGGGTGGGGGCTCCCAGCCCTGGCCCTCCCTCCCCCCGGCAGGTCCAGCTCTAGGTGAACACTGCCCTGGAGGAAAGGAGCGAGGACATCTGAAGATGCTGAGGGGGTGCTTAGGGCCGCCCCACACTCCGACGATGCACCTGGCCCCGCACCCCCACGCGTAAGCCGGCAGCACTGGGCAGCTCGGTCTCCGAAGCCTGGCTCCCTCACAGACTTGCCTGGGGAGGAGCAGCGAGTATCTCCCAGGGCAGCAGCTCCCTTCCCTGCACCTGACTTCTGACACCTTCCTGCCCTCTGGGCAGAGGCAGCAGGGCCCTGGGCTTCTCTCCTGCACAACTCTCCCTCACGGAACTGGCCAAGGGTTCACTTCTGATAGCAGTTCCTCTGGAAGCCCCCACCCTGCACAGGCTTTACCTCACAGGTCCCCTGACCACCTACTCAGGCCTCACCTGAATAGGTCCAGTTCGTGGACGCTGGTGAGGACCACGGGGGCGGGCAGCAGGTTCTGAGAGGAGGGGTGGGTGGGGTCAGGCCGAGGGCAAGGCTGGCACCCCGCAAGCCCCAAGTAGCACCTCTCACCCCAGGAGACCCCTGGGGGCTACAGCCCCTGCCCTGCACAGCTCCCCACCCCCATCCCCACAGCACTGGAGATGGCGGGGGGCGCCCAGCCCCACAGCAAGATGCAGGCAGGCCCCTAGCAAGGGCAGGGAGGCCTGGGGAGGTGGGAGGTGCGGCACCACCGACCCAGGAGCAGGGCCCCCACCTCATGGCTACACTGCTTCGGAGGACTGTGCTCAGGCCTGTCCACCCTGGACGGGACGTGAACCTGGGGGACGAAAGGGAGTAGCTGCCAGATGGGCATGGGTGTCTCTGTGAACCTGGGGCCTCTCCTCCCCAGACGGCCAGCCCTCACCTGGAGGACGACTCCCATAACAGGCAGGTTCAGGGTCTGCCCGGGCACAGGGGCTGGCCACTGGTCAATCTCATTGCACACTGTGGACATAGGGGACCAGCGTCAGGAGCCCATTGAAGCCACTGGGGGCCACGGCCAGGACAGTGAAAGCACCTGACAGCCACTCACCCGCTTCCAGGCAGGGGGCCAACTTGTCGAAGTACTCGGGGGCAATCAGGCTCAGGAGCGCCTGGAACAGCCGGACAAAGGGCAGGCGGGACACCAGCACCAGGGACTGCAGGGCCCACAGGGCCGGTGAGATGGAATCCCGGCCATTCAGGAGTCTGCAGGGACCCCTGAGGCCTGGCTCATCCAGAGTCTGCCCAGGGAAGCGCATCCCACAAACCCCACAGGAATGGGCCAACTTGGACTCCGGAGTTATTAGAAGAAAACCCAAAGCCTGCCTCAGACAAGGCAGGGAAACCTCAGATGACAGCTGGGCCCTGGGCCTTCAGAGGGAAATGCACATGGCCAAGATTTCTGGGATGATCTCCCTAGGAGCCAAGCAGCTTTTGCTTATGGTGTCTGAGTTCAAGATGGAAGTTGTCCTAATCTTGAACGTGTGGCAAGGGCCCCTCCCCAGTCAGCAGCAAGGAGCAGGGATATCCTGAGCTCAGAGACGGAGGGCCAGGGTGCTGTGCTGGGCAAGGCAGGGCAGCAGGGCCCACTCCCCAAAGGGCCAGCAGGAGAGCTGGGTGCACCCATCCCCCAACCCCTCACCTGCTGCCCAGGCAGGGCAGCCTACCTGGCCCAGGGCAGTAAGTTCTGCCCAGTGCCGAGTGGCCAGGGGCTTCAGGAGGAGTGGGCGTTTCTGGAGGCTCAGGACCCCTAGCCTGATGGCCACCAGCCCTGCCTCACAGCAGCACCACCCGAGAGCAGTCAGGTGGCTCACCTTCTGGAAGTAGCCCCTCTTCATGGAGCTGTCCTTCACCTGCCTGAAGTACACGTAGCCAAAGTAGTGTGCTGGCTCCCTCTGGAAGGAACAGTGTCAGCCAGGTCGAGTCCACCGCCCAGGTTCCCTCCCGCCCACCCAGACCCCCTGCCAAGGCTGCTATAGCTCTCTCCAGCCATGGGGTCAGGCCTGGGGGTCCTTGGCTCAGCAGGTGGCCAACACCTTGACAGAGAACATCTCTGCAGGGACAGTGGTCAGTAGCTCAGGGGCCTGGGAGAGCTAGCCCACCCGCAAGGCAGGCTGGGGTGCCGGTCCCACGGGGTGGCGGGGCTTGCTGCCCAACCCTGGCCTCTGGGGAGAGGCTGCCCACACTCACTTGCAACGACATGGGCGCCCCACTGTTGTAGTGCTGGTCCTCGGCATGCCATGGACTCTTCTGTCCGCCACACTGCCGAATGCGGAAGCTGAACTGAGTGTCTCCGAGGCAGCCTGGAAGGGGAGGCAGCCCCCACCAGCCCACGTCAGGGCTGGGACCTCTCCTGCCAGCATGCCGGGGAGGGGACCAGAGACCGGGCCGTAAACGCCCCAGGGAGAAAGCCCAGCCTTCGAGGAAGGCTGTGCCCTAATTCCTGTACCTGAGCGTTTCAAAATAAACACAGCACACGTCGGTACAGTCAGCTAGCACAGGGGGGACACTGGGAGACCCCAGTGGGGCCCAGTCAGCTGGTCTGTGACAGAAAAACAGGGCTGCCTGGACACCTAAGCCCCAGAGAAGAGCAAAGGCCAGGACCCAGTTCCTGGTGGCCCCTGTGGTGGGATGAAGGGGACCAGACCCCACTGATCACTCTGCCCAGAGACACTCTTTCCTTGAAAATCGGGGGCACCTGACCACAGCTGCTGCAGTGTGGAGTTCTGGGTGTCTCCATGGAGCAGGGAGTGGGGCTGGCATGGACAAGCAGTGATGCTGGTGGTGGTCATGCCCAGGCCCAGGCCACAGGGGCTCCTGGACAGCCATATTTCCCACCTTCTTCCTGTTACCCACTCCCCACCCCCAGCCCCAGAGCCCACGTCCCAGTTGGGGTTGCCTACCTGAGTGGGAGTCAGGGAAGGACAGGTAGCAGATGCTGCTTTTCTGAAACACAGGAAACTGGGTGAGGGCCGGCTCAATTCAGGGCCACGTCTGCTCCCAGGAGGGCCAGGACCCACCTCCTTGTCCGTGAGCCGGAAGTCACTGGGGTACACCAGCTGCAGGGACACAGAGCACTTGGTACCATCAGCTGGGCAGCGGGTGCAATGCTGGTCTTGCCCCTGCCTCCTCCTCTGGGCCCTTTCAGCATGAGACCACTCTATCCTTCCCTTGTCTTGGCTACCGCACCTGGGAGTTCCCCAACTCCTCCTCATACCCCTCAGGCAGACTGTGGTCGGGCCTCCCCGCCTCTCCTGTCCCCAACATTTGTCCCCCAGCTTCAGAAGGTGGTTTTGAGAGCCCTCCCGTGGCCTCCTATCTCGAGTGTGATCACAGGGCTCTGCCTGCTGGCCTCTGCCTCCCCTTCCCTCCACCTCCGGGACACCTCTACTCATCCAGAGGGTCTTGGGCTGCACCATTCCCCCAGGCTTGCTCCCCGAGATGGCGCCTGGCTGGCTTCCTCATGTCCTGGTCTTGCCTCAGATGTCACTAAGACCGTGGCACCCCTGCCCGTTGATAGCACCTTGAGTGCTGTCACCCCAACCTCCACTAGTCAGGGACCCGGGATCTTCTGGCCTGTACCCCCCCTGGAGCAGGAACCCTAGGAGAGCACCCTGGGCCCCAGCAGGGTCAGCAGCAGGCCCTCAGGGATCTAGCAGCAGGCCACACCCTAGAGGAGCAGCGGGCTGAGGCCTGGCTCTCAGGTTCAGCAGCTCTATGCACAGGCCCAAGGCCAGAACGGATTTCATTAGAGGATACCAAAAAGGCAGGGGGCCCCATAGCCCTCACTCCCAGTGGGCCTCTGAGGTGTCTTCTGGGGAGCTGGGTGCCTTGGGCTCTGCTGCTGCCCTGGCCTGTGCTCTCCGGAAGGGGCAGTGCTGGGAGTCCACAGGGGGTCAGGAGCCACGGACTTGCATGCATGCAGCCCCTACTTGCCCTGTCCTCCAAAATTCAACACTAAGAGGAGCTGGGTTTCAGCTGAAACGAGGCTTCTCCTGGGGTGTTGCCTGAACCCCCAGATAGAGGGCAGTGCCATGCTGGAATGATGTGGCTTCTTGTCCTTTTTGCTCGGGCTTGCCACTGTGCCCCTCTTCTGTCCCCTCTGCCACATACCAGTGTCCTGAGGACAGGGACTCCTGGCCGTGGCAGCGAGTACACCCTCACCAAATACAGTATCTGCGATGTGCCTGAAAACACATCTTGGAGGTAGAACAGAACAGGAAGGTCGTGTAGAAACATCAAGGAGATGTCAGCTCAGGAGGCAACACGAAGGAAGGGTCAAGAGAAGGGACGGGAGCTGAAAAGAATTTGTCTATGGGACCGAACCCACAGAGGCACCTTGGGACAGCCCCAAGAGGGGCAGGGGCCACAGGACCACTCAGCCGAGCCCTCAGGTGTCGGTCAAAGAGCGCCAAGGAAAGGCGGGTGCCTGGCAGCTGGGGCAACGGGCCTCACACTGCGGTCAGGGGTCCGAATCTGGTCTGCCAGCCACAGGAGTCTTGCAGCATCAAAGCAGGCCATGTTGGCCTCTGCATCCATGGCCAGGGAACCCATGTTTATGGCCTGGTGCAGCTTCTCCTGGGAGCAGAGACCAAAGGGAAGGCCAAGTTGAGCCATGCCTCAAGGAGGAAAGGAATGCAGCCGACCGTCAGAGAGGCAGAAAGCAAAGAGTTGTGCTGCCCGAGGACCCCATCCTCCCAGGCCCACGAGGGCCTTGTTTCTGCTGAGCCAGCCAGCACCAGTGCAGCTCCTGGAGCTCAGCCATCCCCGAGGAAGACCGATGCGGCCACGTGTCCTTCAAGAAGGCACCTCTCTAGGACAGTGCTTCAGTGTCCTAGAGAGCCCTAGGACTCCGCGAGGTCAAAGCTGCCTCCTTCACGCTCATCCTGTTACTTGTGTGCAAGGCTGTTCCCAGAGGCTGCACCACACACTATCACAGGATACACAGCAGAAGCTGATGTGGGGATCCAGCTCTCTTCTATCTGACCAGATGCTTAAAAGGTTTATAAAAGGGGGCGCCTGGGTGGCTCAGACGGTTGGGCATCTGCCTTCGGCTCAGGTCATGATCCCAGGGTCCTGGGATCGAGCCCCGCATTGGGCTCCCTGCTCCTTGGGAGCCTGCTTCTCCCTCTGCTTCTCTCTCTCTCTCTCTGTCTCTCATGAATAAATAAATAAATTCTTAAAAAAAAAAAAGTTTATAAAAGTAGGGGGCGTCTGGGTGGCTTAGGGGGTTAAGCATCCGACTCTCGGTTTCAGCTCAGGTCATGACCTCAGGGTCCTGAGTTCAAGGCCCGCAACATCAGGCTCCATGCTCAGCAAGGATTCTAAGATCCTCTTCCTCTCCCTCTGCCCTTCCGCCCAGTCACTCACGTGCACTCTCTCACTAAATAAAAATAAAATCTTAAAAAAAAAAAAAAAAAAAAGGTTTGTGAAAGTGTCACATGATACTAAATTCTGTTTTGGAAAATATGGTTGTTTTCAAGAAAATATTTATATTAACACATACAGCATTTGTTTTTTTTTTTTTACAATACCTTAGTAAGTATTTTAAGTTTTCTCAGTTTTTCTTTTAAAGATTTTATTTATTTGACAGAGAGCGAGAGACAGCTAGAGAGCGAGCACAAGCAGGGGGAGTGGGAGAGGGAGAAGCAGGCTCCCGGCTGAGTAGGACCCTGGGATCATGACCTGAGCCGAAGGCAGATGCTTAACCACTGAGCCACCCAGGCGCCTCTAATTTTCTCAGTTTTAACTTCTAACACAGTAAACATTGATAGGTATGACCCATACAAAAAGCTTTTTGGAGTCAATAATTTTTACGACCGTAAAGGGTCCTTGGACTGTGCAGTGTAGGAGCTATGTCCTGGGAGGACATGAACACCCCAGTGCAGAGAGCCTCTTTGGGCCCTCCAGCCAGAGTTCACTCCACAGGCTTCCCAGATGTGCTGGGATGCAGAGAGCTGGGATGACGGAGCCAGACCCTCTCCTCAGCTGATCCACACGTTCTTGTCCCCCCCATCCCCCAAGGCCTTGCCTGCCCTCCTCTGCGTCACCTGTAGGCTTCAGTGTACCTATTGGCTTGGATCCCCCCTCCCCCCCATAGCCTGTGTGCGCTGGGGGTCCTGAACCACTGTGTCTCTAGCACAGAATGTGAACTCCTGGAGGGCAGGGCCTTGTCTTCTCGCCTAACTCTGCATTCCCCGTGTCCAGCACTGTTGCTGTAGGGCCTGGCTGCTCAGCACTTGGTTTATTGGATGAACGAGTGGACAGCTCCTTGCCTTTATTTTTGCTGGCTTTTCTGAGGGAGGGGTTACCTGAAGCAGGCTCTTCTCCCCTGCCCGGCTGCCCCCGTACCACCCTCCAAGACTGGCCATGCCCTACCTCTTCCTCTGAGCTGCATTTGTCCACAGAGCATCTGTGGGCCACGAGCTCCTGGAAGGCAGCCCAGCACCTCGTACAATGCTGGGGTGTTTGTGGTGCTCAGGTAGTCCAAGCTGTGAATAAGTGAGCATGGGGCAGGTGCTTCTCAAAACCTGTAAGGTTCAACTGAAATAACCCCCGATCAAGAGGCAAACCTGATGAGGATTGTCTGATAGATTCATGGCCCAATTCCCACATAGACTTGGTGATTTAGAGGGGCCCTGGGTCCCCAACACCCCCTGCCAGGGCTGTGTCACCTCACCAAAGGCTCCAAAGCCCAAGCACACGGAGCCTTTAATGGTACTCGCCTAGGGTGCCTGGGTGGCTCAGTCGTTAAGCGTCTGCCTTCGGCTCAGGTCATGATCCCAGGGTCCTGGGATCGAGCCCCACATCGGGCTCCTGGCTCAGCGGGGAGTCTGCTTCTCCCTCTTCCTCTGCTTCTCCCACTGCTCATGCTCTCTCTCTCTATATATCTCTGTGTCTCCAATGAATAAATAAAATCTTTTAAAAAAAAAGTAGTACTCGCCTAGAATTAGCTTTCTAAATGGTTAAATTCTAGAAAGATGTACGGGAGAATGCCTTAAGGAAGCAGGAGAATCTCTTAACTTCTCGTGTGATTTTTTGAGGAGCAATTTGGGCAACGGCAAGAATGTGGGCTCTGTAACACGGGGCAGATCGTCTCAGGTCTCTGCTCAGGCCTCTCGGACCAGTGGGGCTACCCCAGTAATGCACACCTGGTGGGGATGGCTGTGCTGGAATGGGGTGTCCACAGAGAGCCGGGCACAGGGCTGGGCTGCAAAAGTCCTCCGTAAGGGTCGGCCCCTCCTGTTTAGAAGACTCGGGTTTCCCACAGCCTCTCGGGGTTCAGCAAAGCCTGAGAACACACCCCTTCCCTCCACCACTGCCCTGGCTTCCCGGAAAAGGCGGTTCAGCCTCATCGCAGCCGTCTGCGGTCACGGGTGTCCTAGCTCTCGGGCTCTCAGAAAGCTCCTTCCGACAGTGTGGCGAAGCCTAGCCCTCCACAGCTCCCGGTGTTGCGCCCCGGCCTTCGGGGCGGAGGCAAGCCCATTCCGACGGGCCTGAGGGAGGCCTCCCTCCCCCCTGGCCGCATGGAGGAAGGGAAGCGGCCCAGGATGGAAACTCCCCAGGCCCGGCGAGGGGGGCGCAGCTGGCCAACAGAAGGCAGGCGGGCGTGGCTGGAAAGGGACAAGGAGGCCGGGTCCGATTCTAAATGAACGAGCAGGTGCGGGAGGATTTTAAGCAGGAGAGCCACAAAGCTCGGACTCTGAAGGACAGTCGGGGGGGGACAGCAACAGAGCTAACGCGTCTCGAATGCTGCTTGACCCCCGGGGTTCTGGCCGGAGCACCCGAGCGGAGGAGGTCCCGCGGCTCGTGGGGGGAGGGGAAAGACGAGGCGGATTTTCCAGGAAAAGTCAAGAGCACCCCTTTGGTTATGCCCCGTGCAGGGCCCCCGTCTCCTGCATCCCGGGGGGGAGTCCGGCGCAGGGCTTCGGAGGAGGAAGAGCCGCCCGGGGGGTCGGCTCGAGGGCTCCTCCCGCGCAGACGGCTCCCGGGCTGCCGGCGGCCCGCCGCCGCCGCCGCCGCCGCCGCCGCCCGGCCGCCCCGCTCACCTCCAGCGCCTGGCCCAGCTCCAGGTCGAAGGTGACCACGCACACGCACTCCAGCCAGGCCGAGAAGCGCGCCCAGGGCGCCGCCGCAGCCCGCGCTCCGGGGGACGCCGCGCCCAGGCGGCCGCGAGCCCGGCGAGGCCCGGCGCCGGACAGCGCGTCCATGGCTGCGGGGGCTGCGGGGACTGCGCCCGCCGCTCGTTGCCGGGGGAACGGTTCCGAGCCGTTGCCGGGGGAACAGCCCGGAGGCGGTGGCCTCGGCACCGGAAGGGACCGCGCCGCGGAGCAGTAGAGCGGCCGCCGCGGGCCAGAGGGGCCCTGGCACGGCCTCCGCGCCCCTGGCGGCCGGAAGAGCGCCGTGCGGCGGGGCGGCGCCCAGCCCACCAGCGAGAAGGGCCCGCTCGGGCCAGAGCGGCCAGAGCCGGGAGGAGGGACTTCCGGGAGGGCGGTGGCGGCGCCGTGGGAGACCTGGGAAGTCGGGTCAGGCGGGGGTTGGGGCTTCCGGGGGCGCCGCTCGGACGAGCCGGGAAGCCCGGAAGGGTGTGGCGTGGAGGCTGGCGGGAGCGTGCGCGGCCGGCTCTCACACCGAAGTGCGTGGTCGCTGCTGACACCCTGCCAGCCGCCTGACACGAATCCCAGCCCAGCTGGAACGTTGGTAGCGACTCCGGGTCTCCCGCCCTTGTTCTCCCTCGGGTCGCCTCGAGGTGTGGGGTCCGCACAGGGTGTCGGGTCCTGGGCTCGTATCCGAACACTGAGCGGGGCCTCGTTGTCTCCGGGGCCGTGCCCGCCTCTGCCTCTCCTCTTGCGGCCGGCGCTCCCCCGCTGTGACCCGGTTGGCAGCCTTGCACGCTCAGGCCTGTGGGTCGAAACCGAATAGAATGCCTGTAACGACTCGTTGGAGCCACCTGCGCCGCGACGGAGACGCGAGGTTGCCGGCCAAGGCCCCGCCCCTCTCTGGCCTCCCGTCGCCCTCGAGCGCTCGCACGGGGCAGAGCCTTGCCTGCAGAAGCGTGTCCCCCGAGAAGTGGCTGCAGAGGCCCCAGCAGCCCACACCGCCGAAGGGCAGGCTTGGAGCTAAGACCGTAACTTACCCGCTCAGACGTGCCGTTTGTGTTGAGTTTGTGTGAAAGCTCGCGCTCCAAAGTTAGGCTGAGCTAGCCCAGGCCGGAGTCAACCAGCCTCCGGCCTCCAGGGTCCTCTCTCAGTGGAGTCCCAGAGGGGGCGCTTAAATGGCCCAATGAGTTGTGATAAAGGGTGTGAAATGTTGCCGACCAGGGAAGTTCGTTAGAGAGGCTTACCAGGAATTCCTGTTTCTTTCCTAAGGCTGCTGTAACAAATGGATACAAGCTAGGTGGCTTAAAACAACAGAGATGTGTTGTCTTACAGTTTGGGAGGCGGAAGTCGGGAATCAAGGTGTCAGCAGGTTTGGTTCCTTCTGGAGGCTGCGAGAAAGAATTTGTTCCAGACCTCTCTGTTCACTTCCGATTGCTGCCTGCAAACCTTGGTTGGAGTGTAGATGTATCGTTCTAATCTCTACCTCTGTTTTTACATCAACTTGTCCTCTGTGTCTTCTTGCTTTTTCTTTTTTTTTTTTTTAAGATTTTTTATTTATTTATTAGAGAATGAGAGAGAGCAAGCACATGAGAGGGGGGAGGGTCAGAGGGAGAAGCAGACTCCCCGCCGAGCAGGGAGCCCGATGCGGGACTCGATCCCGGGACTCCAGGATCATGACCTGAGCCGAAGGCAGTCGCTTAACCAGCTGAGCCACCCAGGCGCCCGTCTTCTTGCTTTTTCTTAGAAGGACACTTGTCTTTGGATTTAGGATGGCCGACCCCTCCCCCCCGCACCCCGAATCAAGGGTGATCTATCTCAAGGTCCTTAATTTAATTACATCTGCAAAGACCTTTTCCACAGGTCACATTGACAGGTTTTAGGTGGATATATCTTTAGGGGAAGGAGCACCATTCAACTCACTACAGGGCTGGTCAGATAGGCAGTCTCTGCCTGGTACCTGCGCAAATTCCAGATAACCCAGAAAGAAAACGGATAGTCAGTATAAATCATATTGTTTAGGATGCCTGGGTGGCTCAGTTGGTTAAGCCGCTGCCTTCAGCTCAGGTCCTGGAATCAAGTTACGCATCTGGCTCCCTGTTAAGCAGGGAGCCTGCTTCTCCCTCTGCCTCTCCCCCGCCTGTGCTCCCCCTGCTTGTACATGTGCTCTCTCTGGCAAATGAATAAAATCTTTAAAAAAATTTTTTAAATCATATTGTTTGTACAGTTTATACATTATGAACCACTCTGATCACTTTTTTGGAGTGATGGGAACTCTCCTGAAATCCAGGTTCCCAGATGCCTGCCAAGGGTTAAGTTAGGCAGGGTGTTTCTAACGATAAGTGTTTAGACTGCTGCATCAACTCTTTTTTGTACACACTTCTTTTGTTAGATTTATTCCTAAGAATTTTATTCATTTTGATACAATTGTGAATGGATTTTTTCTTTTTTTTTAAGTATAATTAACATGCAGTATTATATTAGTTTCAGGTGTACAATATAGTGATTCAACAATCCTATACATTACTCTGTGCTCATCACAGTAAGTGTACTCTTAATTCCAATCACCTATTTCACCCATCCACTCACCTACACTTTTCCTGTGAATGGAATTTTTTTCTTAAAAATTTTCAGGGGCACCTGGGTGCTCAGTCAGTTAAGCATCCGGCTCTCAGTAGGGGAGGCTGCTTCTCCCTCTCCCTCTGCTCCCCCCCATAAATAAATAAATAAACCTTTTTTTTTTTTAAGATTTTATTTATTTATTTGACAGACAGCAAGAGAGGGAACACAAGCAGAGGGAGTAGGAGAGGGAGAAGCAGGCTTCTCGCTGAGCAGGGAGCTTGATGCAGGACACAATCCCAAGACCCTGGGACCATGATCTGAGCTGAAGGCAGATGCTTAACGACTGAGCCACCCAGGCGCCCCAAATAAAAAACCCTTTTTTTTTTTTTTAAAGATTTTATTTATTTGACAGAAAGAGACACAGCGAGAGAGGGAACACAAGCAGGGGGAGTGGGAGAGGAAGAAGCAGGCTTCCCAGGGAGCAGGGAGCCCGATGCGGGGCTCGATCCCAGGACCCTGGAATCATGACCTGAGCTGAAGGCAGACGCTTAACGACTGAGCCACCCAGGCGCCCCCAAATAAAAAACCTTTTAAAAAATATTTTATTTATTCCATTGAGAGAGAGAGAGCGAGCACAAGCAGCAGGGAGAGGCAGAGGGAGAAGAAGACTCCCCGCTGAGCCGGGAGCAGGCTCCATCCCAGGACCCTGAGATCACGACCTGAGCTGAAGGTAGATGCTTAACCATCTGAACCACCCAGGCATCCTTAAATAAAAAATCTTAAAAAAAAAAAATGTTCAGGGCATCTGGGTGGCTCAGTTGCTTGAGCATCTGCCTTTGGCTTGGGTCATGATCTCGGGATCCTGGGATAGAGCCTGCTTCTCCCTCTCCTTCTGCCACCCCCCCTGCTTGTGCTCTCTCTCTCTCTCAAGTAAATAAAATCTTTTAAAAAAATGTTCAGATTGCTTGTTGCTAGTATATAGAAATATAACTATTCTTTATATATTGATTTTATATTCTCTGACCTTGTTAAACTACTTATTACTGCTAGTAGGGCTTTTTTTTTTTTTTTTTTGTAGATTCCTTATGATTTTTATTGTTTTTAAAGCTTTTATTTACTTATTTGAGAGAAAGTGCATGGCAGGGGCAGGGGCGGGGGAGGGAATGTTGCTTAATCTCACAACCCTGAGATCACGACCTGAGCTGAAACCAAGAGTCGGACACTCAACTAAATCTGCCACCTAGACACTCCTTTCCTTATGATTTTTAAATAGATAATCATATCATCTGTGAACAAAGATGATTTTGCTTTTTCCTTTCTAATATGTATGCCTTTAATTTTTTTCTTGCCTTATTGCACTGGCTAGAATCTTTTGTACATGTAGAATGATTTCAAATATTTAAAAAATATTTTATTTATTTATTTGACAGAGACATAGTGAGAGAGGGAACACAAGCAGGAGGAGTGGGAGAGGGAGAAGCAGGATTCCCTCTGAGCAGGGAGCCTGATGTGGGGCTCAATCCCAGGACCCTGGAACCATGACCTGAGCCCAAGGCAGACGCTTAAACGACTGAGCCACCCAGGCACCCTTGATTTCAAATATTTCTTCTGTTCCTGCCTTTCTTTTCCCTCTGGTGTTCCCATTACAGGTGTGTTACACCTTTTATGGTTGTCCCATAGTCTTTGGATATTCTCTCCTGTTTTTTTCAGTCTTTCTCTTTATTTTTCAGTTTTCAAGGATTCTTTTGACATATCCTCTAGCTCAGAGATTCTTTGCTCAGCCATGTCCTGTCTGGTAAGCCCACAAAAGGCATTCTTCATTTCTGCTCCAGTGTCTTCGCTAGCATTTTGTTGTTGTTTTTTCTCAGGATTTCCGTTGTTCTGCTTTCATTGCCCATCTGTTCTTGCATGCTGTCTACTTTATCCATTAGAGCCCTTAGCATATTAATCAGTGTTTTATATTTCTGCTCTGATAATTCCAACATCCCTGCCATGTCTGTTCTGAAACTTGCTCTGTCTCTTCAAATTGTGGGTTTTTTCATTGTGTTTTTTAATTGTGTAGTTTGCCTTGTAATTTTTCTTGATAGTCAGACATGATGTACTGGGTGAAAGGAACTGCTATAAATAGGCTTTTAGTAATGTGACAGTGAAGTGTGGGGAGAGAGGAAGTCTTTTTTTTTTTTTTTTAAGATTTTTATTTATTTATTTGAGAGAGAGAGAGAGAGCAGGAGAGGGGGGAGGGTCAGAGGGAGAAACAGACTCCCTGCTGAGCAGGGAGCCCGATGCGGGACTCGATCCCGGGACTCCAGGATCATGACCTGAGCCGAAGGCAGTCGCTTAACCAACTGAGCCACCCAGGCGCCCCGAGAGGAGGTCTTTATAGTCCTGTGATTAGGCTTCCATCTTTAGTGAGCCTGTGGCTCTGGACTGGGAGATTCACCAGTGCTTGTCCATCCTTTTTTTCCCTCTCCTCTTAGCTGGGACAGGCATCTCTAGAGGGTGGCAGCTGGGGATTTCCCTTCCCTGAGGTCAGCGAGGCTCTGGTTAACTAGTCTCCCTTGAGAACAGGCCTTGGTAAGAACAAAGGGCTCTAGCACCTTTCAAAATGGCTCTTGGCCCCTCCCCAGCAGGAAGCAGGAGGGAATTTTTCTCCGATATTTACTGTGGGAACCTGGCCATGGTCCTGGAGATAAATCTCACAATGTTGTGGGGGCCCTTACGACTGGATCTCCCAAACTTGTTAAATCTCAGGACTGTCCACTCTGAGCCTCTGGGAATCCATCCGTCATAGCCGAGGCGCCTCGTGCCGGCACAGCTCCCATGGTAGTTTCTGCTTATTAGTCTTTGCTCTGGTAAGCTGTGATGGCTTCTGTTTACCTATCTGTCTCTCCAATCTGTGGTTTGCTGTGTCCTCCCTCCCTTCTCTTACAGATCCAAGAGCAGCTGGTTTTCATTCTGTTCAGCTTTTTACCTGTTAGAATGAGTGGTAACTTCCAAGCTCCTGACACGCAATCTAACAAGGTCAAATTGAAGTGGTAAAAGCAGACAACCTTGCCTCATTTTCAGTCTTAGTGGAAAAGCATTAAATCCTTCACCATTAAGTTTCATGTTAGGTACAGATTTTTCCTAGATATATTTGATGAACTTGAGGAATTATTCCTAGTTGGTTGAGAGTATTTATTGTGATAGGCATTAACTTTAGTCAAATGTCTTTTCTGCAGTCATTGTGACAATCCTGTGGTTTTTACCCTCTATT